GCTGTGGTGGTGCCCAGCGTGCTCCTGCCAGCCTCGGACACCAGTGGTGCCTGCACGACTGGCCCCCTGGGTGGCTTGTACCACTGCTTGTGCAAACAGATCTAATCACTGTTATCATTTTTAACTAATTAGTAAGAAGTTTATAAGTAAGCCAAATATAGTTATTTGCTTGAATTTGAATAATTACTGCCCCAATGTAAATATTAATTAGCATTCTTCATACCAAAATTTTTTAAGAGAACAAAACCAAACAACATTAAACAGAATACAGTCACTCAAAACAAAGCAGTGAATGTGATACAGGGCTTCAAAACAAGACACTAGGAAATCACCAATGGCTACCATAATGTATCTTGCTGTCTTTGAAACACCTGCCCATGACATCAGATATAATAAAATCAAACAAAACAAAATGGAATAAAACCAAACAAAACAGAACAATAAAAATGATACAAGGCTTCAAAACAGGATAATAAGAAATTAACAATGGCCACTGCCTTCTCTTTTTATGTGTTTCCTCCCCTTCACTTTCACAATATCTATTGTGTATTTTGGATCCCACTCACTCCTTTAGGTTTTTGTACTAGGGAGACAACACGAGGTTCACCCATGTGACTCTGAGCCATTTCACCCATGAGCATGATCTCACGTTGCATCCATTTACCTACAAGAGCCCTGAGGCCATCCTTCCTTATAGCTGGGTAGCTGTCCATTGTATAGAAATGCCACATCTTTCTTGTCCACTCTGCCCCTGATGGGCAGGCCACCCCCACTTCTTTCTGGTTTCCTGTCACATGCAGCATTGTTTTCTCCCCTTTAACTTTCAATCTACGAATTTCCTTTCAAGTTAAATGTGCTTCTTGTATGAAGCATATTGATGGATCGTATCTCCTGATTCACTCTGCCTGTGTTTCTTTTTATTGATGAATTGAGTTCATCTACATTAATGGTTATGGCTGATGGGATTTTCGGCACGGTTAGAAGACAGAATATAAAGTGAAGTGGCCTTTATTTTAAGGATTTGGGGAGAAACTCCATGACGGCTGGGGCTTGGCTTTCTCTGCCAGACATGTGGTCTGGGGTAGAGTCTACAGGGGCATCCCTGATGACCAAGCAGCCCATTGGAATTCATTTTGTGCCACAGGTAAGTTGCTTAGGGGCGGAGAAAATGACCTCAAGGTAAACGTCCCTTGGTCCCACCTCTCACTGCTGTAGTGTCCGATCTAGGACAAGATCCTTTCAATGACCAACATGTACTGGCTCTTGCCTGCCATGCTGTCTTCCCGGTGCTGGCTCCCTGCTTTTCCCGTCCATTCAATTGCTTGCCCTGCTTGGTGACCCCCATCTGCCACTGTTCCTGAAACTGGCCATTTGTATCTCTCTCTAGAATGTCCTTCAGTACTCTTTGAAGAGTTGGTTTGGTGGTCATGAATTCCTTCAGTTGTTCTTTGTCATTGAAGTATCTTGTTTCTCCATCAGTTTTGAAGATAGTTTTTCAGGGCACATCAGTCTGGGCTGGAAATTGTTTTCTTTCGGGACTGAAATACTTCACTCCAATCCCTTCTTGACTTGAGGATTTGTATTGAGAAGTCTGCCATGACTCTGATGGGTTTTCCTTTATAGGTGATCTATTTCTTCTCTCTAAAAGCTTTTAATGGCCTGTTCTTGTGCTGAATTTCTGAGATCTTGATTATTATATGCCTGAGTGTAGATTTATTTTGGTTATGTCTGCTTGGAGTTCTATATGCCTCACTTATCTGCGTATCAGGTCCTTTTCCCCTGCTTGGGAAGTTTTCTGCTATTACTTCTGTAAATAGTCTTTTTATGTCATTTGTGTTGACCCCTGCTTTTTCACTGACACCATTCTTATATTATTTATTCTTTCTTAAATTCTTCATTCTTAAATTATCACTGACATCATTCTTAAATTATTTCTCTTTGTGTCATCTTGCAGCCATTGAATTGTTATTTCCTGGTTCCTTGTTAGTTTTAAGAGATCATTCCTTTCATATCTGCTAACTACAAACCTGTCTGCAAAGTCTGAGAGTCTGTCCTCAGTTTCTTTCAAGCAGTTTGCCAGTTTTCAACAGAGTTTTTAACTTCTCTTTGACTCTGTCTCATGCCTTCTAAATCTTTCTTGTGTTGGTCATTCAAGCTTTCCCTCGTTTCCTAGCTGCTCTATTCTTTATCTATGTCTTCTTTAGATACGCTCAGCAAGTCTTTTATTGTTTCATATTTCTTCTTTGGAGATAGTATTTTTGATCTAATTTCATGTAAGGCCTCATGAAGTTGTTTCTTTACTTCGGTAACCATCACTTCAGAAACTTCAAGAATGCAGCTTCCAAGCTCTTCCACGTTTACAATCTCCTGGACTTGCTGCTGTGCTTGGATTGGAAGCCAGAATCTGCCTTTTGCTTCATCTTGACATTTTCCTGGGTTCTTTCAGGCACGTGGGTTGTGGGTTCCAGGCACTTCCCACTTTGGCTGCAATTTCTCCAAGGCATGGATGGCTTGGTCTCCCAGCCAGTGCTGAGTAACGGGTGCCCAGTGGGTGCTCTGGTGTGGTGCTGGCTGCTTCTTTTCCCAGCCCCCACTGGCTACTGCAGGAAGCTCTCTGATGGTGACCAATGTGCATATGAGGGCAGGGCTGGCCGCTGCTTCTTCTGACCTATAGTGGCTACAAGCAGGAAGCGTCTCTGATGGCAACTAATGTGGCTTCATATCAAATTCTAAAAATTATTACAATGATCAACACATTTATTTCAATAAATTAAAAGAAATTCATTTATATTTGTGAATTTCTTTAAAATATTTTATACACAAAGGCAGCCAATTCATGTACAGTGCACAAAACATCATCACATGTTCAGTTCCCAGTGCAGTCACAGCAGCAGCCATTTTTAGGTGGTCACACAGGTACCCTCGAGTGGGTCAGCCCAGTGGGTCAACTGAATTCAAATGTTAATGAGGAACACCTTAGAAACCAAAAGAGAACATGAAAAGTTGATCCAACAGTTGCAAAATGATACAAAGAAAACTAATTTAAGATTAAGTGGCATTAGTGAAAACTCAGAAGTTATCACAAAAGTCATAGAAAACTTGTTTACAGAAGTAATAGCAGAAAACTTTACAAATATGGAAAAAGAATTCAACATAAAAATAAATGGGACATGTAGAGGACCAAATAGCTATGATCGATCAAAAGAGAATCACTCCAAGACACATCATCCTCAAAATGCCAGTAATCCAACCCCAAACAGATCTTAAAAACTATTAGAGAAAAGCAACAAATCACTTGTAAAACCCATCAAAATTACATCACACTTTTCAACACAAGCCCTAAGGGCAAGGAGAGTCTGGAATGAAGTGTTTCAAGTCATAAAAGAAAACATCTTCCAAACCAGACTGACAGATCCTGAAAAATTATGTTTCAAAACTGATGGAGAAATAAGACATTTCCATGATAAAGAGCACCTAAAGAAATTTATAAACAAGAAGCCAGCATTCCAAAAAATCTCAAAGGTATCCTACAAAGAGACAACGAAGCCAACAAGCCCAAAAGATCCAGTAAAATGAACCCACCAAGCAGAGTGACCAATTATGTAGAAGAGAAAGGAAGAGATTGGCCAGCGGGAAAATTATACAATGACAAGAATTAATCAGTATGCGACAGTTATAACCGCCAATACGAATGGTTTCAGTTTACCAGTCAAAAGACACAGATTAGCAGAATGGACTGAGAAGCTATATACAAGAAACACATGTATAACCCCAAAGGAAACTAATGCACTAAAGTGAAGGCTGGAAAATAATATTCCACACAGCAAGAAACCACAACCAATCAAGAGTAGCTATCTTATTTTCAGATGAGCTGAATGTTAGACCAAAACCTATCAGAAGAGGCAGAGAAGCTCACTAGGTATTGGTTAAAGGAACCATTCAACAGGAAGAGATAAAAATGAGAAAGATATAAGCACCACATAAAAGTACAACTCCATAAAACAAACACTATCTGGACTTAAGAGATCGGACAAATATTAATATAGATATAGTGGAGGACCTCAATACCCTGCTATCACAGAGAGATCGAACTCACTGTGTAACCAAGGCTGGCCTCAAACTCGTGATGATCCTCCTGCCTCAGCCCCCCGAGTGCTGTGATTACAGGTGTGCACCCCCGCACCCAGCAATGTTCCTGTTTAATACACAGAGTATTTTTCAAATATTTCAGCCTATGTTGGTTGACTTTTCCGTGCAGATAAAGAACCTTCAGAATATATTTTACAACTATTGCCCTCTCCTGTCCCCTCCCAATTCCTCCCTTCATTCTTTTTCCATTTCTTTCTTGTTTCTCATAGTTGGTGCAACTATTTCAAGATAAGGAACATGTTTCAAGATAAGGAACCACTTTATTATGAAATGTCACGCACACACATCCTGCCAAAATTAAGAATATTTTGTGTAAGTCTGAAAATTCTTTCAGGAGGATAAATAACCAATTTTGAGTGTTGTTTGATTCTCCGACCTCAGTGAAGCTTCTATTTAACTCCTATGCCATGGTCACCATGTTCTCCCTTGTACTTGACCTCGACTCTCCTGGTCTTTCTGTGCTTTTGCCATTCGAGGTCCAGATGCAAACAAATGATACACTCAGGAGAGGAAACTGAAGCCACTTAATAAAGCATCAGCTCACAAAGGCATGGACGTGACCATGAGGGACCGGCAAGGTACAGGGAGCTGAACCAGACCCAGCACGGTAGACAGCCACCAGCAGCCCACGCAGGCAGGGACGGGGGCATGGCAGGGTGCAGAACTCAGAGAGACCCCTGTCTGGAGAAAGGGGCCTCTTGCCAGCAGCAGACGCTTAGGGTGAGGAATTGTCCCCGCTCTCCTGTGACATTACAGTTTGACCCACAGACTCCTGATGAATTCTATCAGATGTACCCAATGAGAATCCAGAGGACACAGGGACAGCTTGTTCTGCACAGGGTACAACAATTTATTGACAGGCACACAGAGGAAAGCCAGCGCACCTCAAGTGCAGAAGAGGGTACCTTTGTCGTTGGACTGTTCTTTGGATCAGTTGAAAAAAATTATTTGTTTATTTATTTATTTATCTATTTAAGCACAGCCTCTGGGACACCTAAATCCTCAACACATGTTGCCTTCTTGCTGGATTATTTATTGCTCCATATAATTAATTTACCTCCCAAGTACAAGATATGCACAGTAATTGTTTGTTTTTAAAGAATAGTGGGAGTAAATTTCTTCTGAAATTCTATCTTGTCGTGGCTTCAGGGATTTCCACTCCTGTATATTTCCTTTCTTTGTTTGCTTGTAAAGATGAATTTGCCAACGAAGTTATTTCAAAGGCGGGTGTTTCCATCGTGCACATTCAAAAAGAGAAATACTCATTTTTGTCAGAGGAGGAGGTCCAGGCCTTGACTCCAACATCCACTCCTGCAGGGAAAAAACAGCTCTGACAAAATAGAAATGATTTCCCGCAAGGTCCCTGCTGCTCCGAAGTTATTGAAACTGATTCAACATTGGGCTCAATGTATGTCCTAATCCCCACGTCCGAAGCCGGTGTGAAGGGACGTTTCAGGGTCGTTCGCGGCTCCAAGATGACCTGAAGGCAGTTTAGCACAAAGACCCCTGCAGACTCTCATTAGCTCTCCCTCCTTTGATAGCTAAAGGTGATTTCTGAAAACCAAATCACTCATCAAAACTCCAACGCTCAGTGCAAAATAGAAATTGGCTACCGATACCATTTGTCATGGAGGGTAATCATGTCTTGCAGTCAACAATTTTTGTGGCCAGTTATCTCCTGTGGCAACCCCAGCAACACAGCTGGAGATAAACCCTTACTTACATAATCCCACCCGCTTTCCTTTGCCCCTGGCCAGGCCAACTGAATGCTGGGCATCTCTACCGGAAAAGGAATCAGAGACTTACTTTAAGGGGTTTCTTTAAATGACCTCAGCAAGGTTATTTACTCTCTCTGGACCTCTGTTTCTCAATCTATAAAAGAGATATAATAATAACATGGGCTTGAAGGGATCACCCTGCAGATAAAATGAATCAATCAATGCCAAGCCCTCAGTACAGTGCCTGGCATTCATTCACTGAATATTTATGGGGCACAGACTATGCGCTAAGTACTCTTTACACACCAGTAATGCAGATGTAAAACTGCTCCTTCCTTGGCCTTGCATTCTACTTGGGGAAGACAACATAAAAGACGTGAAAACGATAAACAGCCAGCCTACAGAGGATGGTAGAAGTGATGAACTTTATAGAAAAAAGCTAGAGCAAGACAAGGGGAATCCAGGCTGCAACAGGTCATGGGGTGCCGGTCTCCACAAGACCACAAGGAAACCTCACAGAGGTGATACTTTAGCAAGTAACTAAAACGTGATGAGCGTGTGAGTAATGGGGAAATCTGGAAAGTGTTTCCAGCACGAACACAGCAAAGCAGGAGACTCCCTGGCATGTTCGCAGACATGCAGAGCTTCAGAAGTGGTCGAGCCTAACAGATTTTAAAGGTCAAGTCCGCAGGCTCTGGTGATGGGGTGTGAGAGAAAAGCAATCATGGTGATTCCTCAGCAAGTAAAGAAAAGCGCCCCTCTTCCCCAGCTCAGTGAGTCTTGGCCTGCTCTTTTTTACTGCCGTACACAGAAAACGTTCAGGAGTTACCTGGACTCACATTGAACGTCAAAGCTGATGCCGCTCTGGTCCTCCTCAGTGTGTTCCCATTCGTTTAAATTTAACTTAGGTTCCCCTGATACAAGTGCGGATAGCCCTGAACTAATAAACCCATCAACACCACAAACTCAGGACACCCCCACTCAGCATTAACTTCTGGACTAAACTGTCTAAAATCGGAGTGGCTTACTTCACAGCAAGTCAGAGCAGGGCTTTCAGTTTGTCCCAAGCCATCAATGCTTCACTTTAATGCAGAAGTGCTTAGCTTTCTAAGGGTCCTGGGCTACTCTGGGAATCCGATGGAAACCGGGCTCACATCCCCTGAAAATGTGTGTGAGCAAACACAACTATGGGGACCCTGTATACAGGCTTACCAATGTCTCCTTAAGGTTCAAACACAAACTTACCCAGGAGCCCATGCCAGAAACACCCGTCTCAAAGCAAAACCAAAAATAACTGTGTGTGTGTGTGTGTGTGTGTGTGTGTGTTTCTCACACAGAAGGTGGCGCACTACACGCCTTGCTCTGCTTCCTGGTTTTCCTCACTTAGTGCACCATCTTGGGGGTCGTTCTGAGCCCGGATTCCCCACGCCCTCCACCACACCCTCCCTATTCCTCCACCCTGGAATACGTGACTCTTATTAATGAACACTTGGGGATTTTTTAACCTTCTGCCATTAAAGAACATCCTGCAGTGAACAACCTTGCATATCCCTGCTTGTTCTCATGGGGGAGCACATTTATAATAAAAGCCCCCAGAAGCAGGATTGTAGCACCCAAGGACTTGTGCGTTTTATATTTAATAGGTCTCCCATAGGTCTTTCACAGGGCTGGGGAGGGTCTACCAATAAAATCACCAAGCATTGTAATAGCACTGCCACAGAACTAGAACCATTAAATTTTCTTTTAATTGAAAAATTGAAATTTTCAGTTTCCTAGAAGTGAAACTATTAAATTTTCTTTTAATTGCAAAAAAAGAAATCCATTATAATGAAATGCGTCCTGGCTTGAAGAGTCCAAGTTCATTTCACCAATTACTCTCACAAATATAAACACTCTAACCTGTACGTGCACATTTAGCTCAGACCAAAAAGCAAAGGCAGGCACTCAGATGAGCCTTAAGAATGCCACCTTACAGCCGGATGTGATGGTACACACCCGTCATCCCAGCACTCTTGGGAGGCTGAGTCAGGAGGATCACTGGGAGTTCAAGGCTACAAAATGAACTAAAAATCAGCCTGAACTGCATAGTGAAACCCAGTCTCAAAAAGACACACACACAAAAATTACAGCTCAACAACAACAAAACAAATGGGCCAGGGATATAGTTCAGCAGCACAGTGCCAGGTCCTGAGTTCAACTCTTAGTAAAAAATAAAATTCATTGAGGTGATAGTTGCCCCGCTGTGAGTATACTGAGGACTACCAAATTGTGCGTTTCAGCAGGTGAATGGTACAGCAGCTGAATTCTATCCCAGAGAAGCTGATTTTCAAAGGCAGAATGAGCTTAGAAGAGAAGTCCTGCATCCCAGTCTCTGGAGAAGAGCCTCACCTGGATTCAGCCGGTGAATTCAGACTCCAGTCAGGATTCCGGCTTTGGACCAACAGAACTGTGAACTGATACAAGCCGTTGTTACAAAACCCCAGGCTTGGAGCTTTATTACACAGCGCTGGAGAACTAATACCCACATCTCTGAGGAGCAGGGGAGATTTCCAGAGGGCTCTGTGCTCTGTCAGTTCCCAGGCTGCTCAGGAGGGGCTGCTGTTGATCAGGATGAGGCAGCCTCCTCCATCTCGGAGCTCTGTGTGAGTGTGGTCCGGGCAGGAGGCAGGGTGAATGTGGCCTGTGGAGCCAGACAGCCAGTACAGGGTCAGAGCATGCGGGGTTAGAAAACCCATGTCCTCCCCTGGCTCGCTTTGCCTTTATTCTAAGGAGAAACTCATCACCTGTCCACAAATCCCTGCCAGCTCATACCTGCTGCCTCCACCGGTCACAGCTCTCCTGCGTGCCCAGCAGGCTCTTGTCCACTAGTTTTTTCTCAGGACAGGAAATCGCCAATCTGTCTCCCACTCTGTCCTTCTGCATTTGCTGGAGCTGCTGCCTACAGGGCTCTTTCCGCTCCCTTGCCTTGGCTGACTTCAGTTCAGTTGAAAGCTCTCTTCTGTTTTCACTTTAAAAGATTCCAAGAAGACCTTAGTAAATGCTAAGTCCAAACTGGTTCTTCCCATCTTGGACACGCACCTGCTTCTGGCCATGGCAGGACCTGAAGATTTGCACTCTCGTGTCTTTGCTTGCTTACGTGTTCACTCTTTGTCTCTGTCGAGAGACCAGGGCCGCAGCTGGGTCCTCAATCCCTGCTTCCCCAGCTCCTAGCAGGCGCTCACTCAGTGAACCTGGGTGAACCACTGCTTCTCCCCCGAGCCCAGAAGGCGCGGAGCTGCAGTCACACATCCTGAATCCCAGGCATGCTCCATCTGCATATTGGGGATCCCTCATCCAGGTAGGAACATTGCCTTAGCCCCATTTTACAAATGCAGAAAGGGAAGCGTCCCAGAGATTCAGAGACCGCGCGGCTTCTTGGAACACAACCAAGCTTGCAACCTCGCTCCTCCCACTGCCCACTGCATCTGATGCCGCCTATCTTCAGCAGGCTTCTGAAAAATCACTACGCTCCAAGTCCTCTCTGCATCCAGTCCCTGCCCAACTCAGCCGGAGTAAAACAGGACCAGAGAAACGGGGCTAAACAGGATTCGAGGTGGGCTCTAAAGCAGTAGGCCAAGAGTGCACCCCGCTAGGCACCAGGCTCTCCTGCACACTGCGGGCTTTGTGTGGACAGGAATCTGATGCATGGCTGTGTTCAGCCCGAAGAAGTTCCCAGGATATGATGGGCATTCAATCAATATTTGTTGAAACAATTGAATATAAAGATTGGAACTTCAGAGGTATACACACAACAGGGGTCCCACCATGGGTGGAATCCCAGCCCACAAAAGCATGGGTTGTGCTATTTTAGGGTTGTTGTGACACTATTAATAATTGTAAACAGATTATTTTCCATGTGGAGATGTGCTGGGCATACCTGGCCACTGCTCCCTGGAAGCCACTACAACCTCTCAACACCTGCACAAACAAATATCGCCAGACATTTCCAAGAGTCCCACTTTGGGCAGGGCGTGGCATGGGGGTACAGTGCTTACCTACCATGTGCAGGGCCCTGGGTTCCATCTTCAGTACAAAAACAAAACAAAACAAATACCAACTATCGGGGCAAAGAGCCATCTCCCCCACCTCGTCCCTTACACGAGGAGCACCTGAAGTTCCGTGCAGCAGAGCCCAGTGCTTCCTGCCTCATGGTCTTAGCTCCTCGGAGAGTTTGAACTAGAACACGGAAGTCAGCTCTCCAGACACCCACTTGCCTTGGGTGCTGTAGACAGTGGATAAATTCCGTTTCAGGAGAAACAAGGGAAAGGAAGCAGGAGGACTCTGTCGGCCACCACGTGGCAGTTCTGGCTGGAGACCCCTCTGGGACAGGCACCCAGCTGATGTGGATTCCTGGAGGGTTCTCCGTGCAGATGGCAGTGTGACACCTGGATTGCATCTGAAATGGGGTTCTGCCCTCTCCGGGTGTGAAGACACTGCTGGCTCAGTCAGGGTTTCCAGTGCTTAAACAAAGGCTTCTGGGCCAGAGTAAAACATTCAGACCACAGACCACAGAACGATGTCAGGGAAAGGATAGACTCTTCAATCAGGAGTTCTGCTAAATTAAAGAAACTACTGTGTGAGTGGTAGATAGACACAGACAGAGGGAGAGACAGAGACAGCACTGTGGGCCTCATTCACCCTGGAGAGTTTCTCCTCTGAGTTTTCTTTTCCAATGTGTTTGTCTGGTAGATTCCTCCTCCTCCTTCCCAGCAGCTACCACCCACAGGGGGTTTGTGAGGGCACCGAGGGGGACGCGGACTCTGCCTCCTGCCCTTCCTGCCTCACTGGCAGAGCGGGATGCTGAGCTAGAAATGCCAAGCCCGCGTGCTGAGTTGCTCCCTCTGCTCCTGGGCACAAATCCTCGGGAAAGATCAAAGGCAAAGGACCATTCTCTTCCAGACTGAAAGGACAGTCTGGGCGGGGCTCCCAGAGCCGCTCACATGAACCTGACCTGTGGCTCACAAGCAGGAGCCGCGCCGTGGGTTAGCGCGCTCCGCAGAGAAATTCTTAAAAGGTTTTTAATGTGCAGAATATTTGCTTCTGACAAAATGTTAGAGAGAAACTGAACAAAAACAAGAAACAAAAATCAGGCATGGTGGTGCACACCTGTAATCCCAGCACTCTGGGAAGCTGCAACAGAATTGCAAGTTCAAACCCAGCCTGTGACCCTGTCTTCAAATGACAAATTAAAAAGGGACTGAGGGTTTGGCTCAATGCAAAGGGCTGAGGTTCAATCCTCAGTTCAGGGAGAGCAGAAGGAGGGCAGGAGGAGGGACAGACAGAGACAGAGGATAAGGAAGAAGGAGACAGGGACAGGGACAGGGAGAAAGGGCCCTTCTCAGACACATGCAGGCTCCAGGAACCCACGCCTCTCATCCTTACACCAGAATCGGCTCCAACACAGCTCTGCCTTCTGCCAGAACCACCGGGACCCACCTCTGTGGGGAACTCGGGTTTTTTTTCTTTAGGCCAAGGGTGCTCCTTGGACTTCCAAGGGACTGTCCCCAGGGGCAGCATTGGCAGGGGGACCCAAGGGCCGGGGGTGACAATGGTCCCTCACTGAAGCAGCCTTCATGAGCTGCCACCGCAGAGCACCATGCTCCAGTGGCCTCAAGGGTCAGAGCTGTTCTCCTGGATTTAGCATCACGGTGCTGCCAGGGCTGGTTTCCTCCCTCCCCGGCTTGCAGATGGCTGTCCTGTGCCCCTCCCCACGTGCCAGCTCGGTTTCCGGGCACGCAGCCCTGGTGTCTCTTCCTCCCAGGACCCCAGGGGTTCCAGCCACTCTAGCAGCCTGATTCCCATCCCAGCGGCATCGCCACTTCGAAGGCCCTGACCAAGCACAGTGGCCTGCTCAGGTACCAGGGGTTGAAACCAGGGAAGGAGAGGCAATGTGACCCATAGGAGGAGGGTTGACAGCTCTTTCTGTGACTCTTTGGCTCTCAACCAGCAGTGGCCACACCCTACAAACACACAGCTTCTGCCAGCACCCTGCTCCTCGGGACGGCTGCTCTGTCCCTTCTTCTGCCTCTGAATGGTAGAAGTTTCCCCAAAGTACTCCTGCGGCACATCCCCGGGTGTTTCCTTTAACCCAGCGCAAACCCCACGCACAAGTTCACACTGAGCTAAAATGACCCAAGAGGTGAGTGGTGGAGAGGGCGCTGAGACTCCCGCTTGGTTCCCGCGTGGTCACTTGACTCCCAATGGGCAAGCACTGTAGCAGCGTCACTCAGAGGCTCGCACAGCCGTGGGTGCAGAAACCACTGCGCACAAAGGCATTTGGGTAGGATTCATTCATCTCTGTAATTTACCTGATGAGGTTTCGCAACCTCTGTGCCACTGACATTTGGGGCCAGGTAATTATCTGCTGTGGGACTGTCTCGTGCATGACAGGACATTTAGCAGCTTGCTGTCCTCCGCCCACTAAGTACCAGCAGCATCCAACACCCAGTGGTGCCCCCAAATTCAGGCTGGCAGCTAAGTGGCTTCCAATTGGGTGAGTCTCTAATGAGAGGAATCTTTTCCTTAAACTGACGCCTCAGAAACCCTCCTGGCTTCATGTTTCTTCACCTGCCCACAATTCCTCCTCACTAGAGAGGTCCATGCCCCCTAGAGGACTTACTCTCCCAGAGCCTGGGGCCCCCTTTTAGAATTCTGAATTCAAACCAGATCTTCTAGATCATTAGGGAAGGACATTTGTCAATGCAGAGGTCTCAGATGGTGCTGTGTGGCACCTTGATGTATAATTTGAAAGTACTTAGGTGTGTGGAATGTGGGCCTTCACTGATCTACATGAGAACCTTACAAAACACACACACAGCTGTCAGGGCTGGTGACCTGACCCTCAGACCTGGACCAAGTGTCAGAGGGTCAGGAAGCAAGGCCAGACCGACCCAGGGTGACATGTAAATGGCACTTTGACCTCAGACCTCCAAGAGTAGCTGCAAAGTTAAAAGAAACCTAAAGGGGCCCGGCAGCCAGACATGCAGAACAAATAACAGGGACCTATGAGCCACCAGGAGCTCAGGACCAGAGCAGAAGATGAGAGGCAGTCGGGAGCTCCCCAGTGGACAGGGGCTTGGAGACCCAGGTGGGTACAAAGCTGAATCTCCCAAAGTAACCAGAAAGAGTCAGTGCTCAGCCACAGGGCCGGGAGCAGACTGTAAACTAGGAATTAGTTAAGGTTCTCACCAGCATGCCCAAGTCCTGCAAGAGCGGCCCTGCAACTCTAAGTGGTCTTGTGCCCAGCGTCAGAGCAAGGTACAGCACAACCCGGTCACTCCGTCACGGGGCACGGTCTGCAACAGCAGCTGTAGGACCCAGACTTTCTGAATCTCTCAGCCTGATTTTCTTTGAGAAGTGCATGGTTTGGATTTGGAGTTGAGAGATGTGATCCTTGATGAGTATGTGCGTCCGGTCCAAACCTGCCCTGAAGAACATTTATGTTTGTTAAGCCTAGGAGTAGAATCCCGTTTGTTGGTTGCCTGGGAAACAAAACGCACTGCTCTGTACCATTTAAAGGCTAAGAGAGTTTTGATGATTTTCTGCAAAAAGTCTATTTACCCTGCCCAAGTCCTCCAGGCCTCCCAGCCTCCTGGGTTAGGGAGTCCCTCATGTTAGAAAGCTCTCTAGGAGTCAAAGAAGGTGGATCTCATTTTTATCAATTTTTTGCTGTGCTTTCTACTACACTCCAAGGCTGAACAGACCGGATCCACACGTCACTGGGACTCTGTGGTTTATATTGAGCCTGACCTCTATGCCCTGAGCCCCAGATTTGAGGAGCATGCTCATTACCCCTAATACAGTCAAGCCCCTCAAATCAGTAAGCATTGTCCCCAGGAAGCAGCTGAGGCTCAGAAATCAGCGAAATGACACAGGACAGTGGGCACTCGGACCTAGGTCTTCAGGGTCCCTAAGTTTTCAAGGTCCTGAGAGTAAGCTCTTCTCTCTATGGCCACGGCCTCCTGCACCGAACCCTCTCGCTCTCCTGAGCTTTCAGTGGATGGTATGCAGCTAGCATTCAGAGACTGCAGCATCTTCCTGCCCGAATCCCTTGGCATCACCACGGAGTGCACCCAGGCCTCGTGTCTCCCACCCTGAGTCTTCAGAGGAAGATGCTGAGCACGGGAGTCCCAGTGTCCACCGTCAAGGGCCATGGGAGTAGCCATGGTCTTTTCTGGGGAAGGCTGCCAGGCATCTTCTCTCCTCTGTGGCTTAGGCCTTCTCACCGCTGGAGCAAAGGCCATTCTCTGCCAATAGTGTCGGGAGGCCAAGGAGGAAACTGAGGCAGCTGCCCGTGTGCCCACCCCCAGCCCAGCTGCTCCGGGGTCCTCAGCTGCAGAGGAAGCGCGGGGGTCCAGGACAGAGCAGCACTGACGCGAGTTCAAGGAAACAAGGCAAGAAATCACACTCAGGCTTCAAGATGGAGTCTAGCTCACATCCTAGAAACATCACGCAAGCACACTCGCGGACAATCGCACCGCGTCCTTCTTAGTCCCAGCTCCAGAACCCCAGATTTACTTCCTGTTTCTGAGGAGTCGCCTCCTCTGGACATGACGTTCACATAGAATTGTGCACCGCTGGATCTCCTGGGCCTGGCCGCTTCCACTGACCGTGAAATTGTCAAGGTCTATTTGGTAGTAACCTGCGTCGGAGTTCCACGGCTTTTTAGGTTGGATAATGGTGTGAAGATGGGCTGTTTTCATCAGCTGAGGGACAGATGAGCTGTTGGCACTTCTTCCTACTGTGCAGAATGCTACTGGGAACCTGGCTGGATGAGTCATTGGGGTGTGTGTGTGTGTGTGTGTGTGTGTGTGTGTGTGTGTTCCAATTCTCTTGGGCACCTGCCTAAGTGCGGGATTTCCGAATCATATCATAAATTTACGTTAACTTTTTGATAAACTACCAAAGCATGTTCCAAAGTGTCTGCTTCCTTTTTTGGCCAAAATTTATTCCATGAGCTGCCAGCCTGTGTATCTCAGTATTTACTCCTCTGGGTCTATCACCCCAGCCCACGTCACTCCACCAAGGTGGTTTTTGTTTCTTATTCATACCAGCATCTCTAGCACCAAAGACAGTCCTTGGAACCCAGCAGACACCCAGTGCATGTTTGTTGAATGAATGAGTGATGCATGCATGAATGACAGAGGTCAGTGTTCTACCGAAGTAGAGTAAAGGAAACATTTGGTGCATAGCGCCGGCATTGCTGTGTTTGATGGCACTCGGGTTCACTTCTGTGTTTCCCTGGGTACCATGGAGACTGCTGGGAAGCCATTGCTCTGAAATAATACTGAACGAGAAAATTAGTCACTTAATTTTAAAGCATTCATAGTTCCGTATAATAATTAAATGTTCTTACAAAGAAAGAAAAGGAAAAAGTCTATTTTTAGCACCCATTTTTCTTTTAAATTTTTAAACCAGAATCTTTGTGCTGCCTCGTTATTTTCTCCATCAGGCTGAGCCCCTCAAAGGCAGGGGTTAGGGTTTGGGGACTTAGAGACAGAACTGAGAGTCGGGGGCAGTGGGTGCCACCTGGTCTCTCCAGCAAAAAGTCACCAGCCTGAGCATGGTGGGGCCCAGCTGTAATCCCAGCACTCGGGAGGCTGAGGCAGGAGGATCACTGGGAGTTCCAGGATAGTCTTGGCTACAAAGTGAGTTCCAGGCCAGCCTGAACTGCATAGTGAAACCCTGTCTCAAAAACAAAACAAAACAAAAAAGCCAGGCCAGGATGTAGTACAGGACAGCTCCTGCCTGGCAAGAGCAGGACCACAAGTTCTATTCCTGGTACCAAATAAAAAGTCACTCACTGCTCTCTTGCTTGCTTGGATGTTGGGTTTGACTCCCAAGGAACCATGTCCTGAGTGGAAAGGGACTCAGAAGGAAAGCCATGCTTCAGCAGCCCTGGACTGCATAGGAACAGTGGACAGGGGCCTAGACAGGAAGCGAGGGAACCCTTTTCATCACAGCCCTCTAGGTGAGCTCCAGGGTCACTTCTGAGTTCTACTGCCCCTGGATGTCAACTGCCAGGCTCTTCCTAAGCTTCTTTGTGCTGCAGCTTGGCAATCAAAAGTGAGCCCCTCTGTGAAGAAGCTGCTGGACACTTCTGGGAGCCTGGGGGCAGCAGCCTCTCCTGCTGTCCCCCGCCTAGTGGCTCAAAGTCTGAGCCACAGCACTGGTGGGGCTTGTTACAAAGACAAATTCTCAAGCATCGCCCCAGACCACTGACGCCAACCCTCTCAGGATGAGGCCAGCAGGCCTCATCAGACACAAGCCCAAGGGTCCAGGGCGGTCTCCCTGTCCTCCCCTCAGTGGAATTGCCCTGCGTGTGCCCGTGGCACCAATTTCTGACTAGCAAACCCTGATGGTCACATGGAGCAAACCTCCACGGCTCGGAGGAGTACTGACCCCGTTACTCCTGCATTAGGAGGGTTCGTGGCCTCCCAGCCGGAGGAGCCAGCTCCTAACTTCGCTCTCCGTCAGGTTCTGGGATTTGTAGCTGTGTCCCCGCTGGGACTGGAGGGTGTTTCGCCTCCGTCTCCTGTTCCACCAGCTTCCCAAGGCATCTCTCAGCCCTCTGTGTTTCCAGGCGCCCCCTACACCCCTCTCCTTTCTCTCTGCTTCTTCCTCTCCACCCACCCAGTTACAGCTTCTGGCCCCAAAACCTTAGCTTTTTATATTTCTAAACAGTTCTCACGTTTCCCTCTGAACTCAAAGCCATCTTTCACGCTCGGTCTGCGAATCCAATTTCAAGCGTTTGAAACTGATAAACGACACATACAGTCTTATGACACTCGTGAAAAAGAATGAGACAGCTCTTAACACACCGTAAAGTCCCCATCGATATTGGTTCTTGTTACTCATTGACAAGGCACCGATTGCTCACGTGGTAGCCAGGCCGCCAGGTGGTCCCTAACCCTCACCCCTGGAGTCACACCTCTGTGCAGCCCCCACCCACACTAAATGGGGCAAGGGGGTGCTTCAACCAATAAGTTATTTCAGTCCATGACTGCCAAAGCTAGGTTAGAAGGAGAATCACAGTGTCCCTGTGTCCCCGTGGGTTGGGAGAGTGGTGGCTGCATGCTGTGAGGACACTGACAGTGGCACCGTGGAGATGCCCAGGAGGAAAGAGAGCAAAGCCTGCTGCCAGCAGGGCGCATGGCTGGCCTCTCACATGAGCCATGCAGGTGGTCACTCAGCTCCAGCCAAGGCCTCAGGGCTCCGAAGCCCTGGCCTGAGTGTTGATGGTAACCTCATGAGAACTCTTGGGCCAGAGCCCCTGCACCACCGTTTAAATTCCTGCCAGACTTCTGACCTCAGAAAGCACAAACAGCTTTAGATGTTCATTATCATTTTATGCCGCGAAGAGATGGGGCGACACGTCCCACATCGATTGATAATGGCTACCTTTTCATGTGGATATTTCACAGTAAGTGGCCAATTCCCAACTGCAGTATCCCAGGTCAAACAAAGAGAAGGATCTCTCTCACCCAGAGGTGATCTGTGCAGCCTAATTCAGTTACCTGCAAAATTCTCTCCTGATCCTAGCGGCAAAAGTCAAAGTCAACTCAGCAGATGCTGGGCCACCGGTTAGCGCCTCACCTTAGATCTTCAGGTGAACGCCAGAAGGGAAGGTTTCCCCCAGCTCACCTCGGGCCTCACAGCCCACTTCCTTTTCCCCATGTTAAAGAGGCTCCTCCCAGGGCTCATCCCGGGACCCCAAATCTGTAGCTTTCATCTGGATCCAGGAATCTGCTTCATTTGTTTTGTTTTTTCCTTTCTGCAGTACTAGGAGACTGAAACCAGAACCTTTGCACTGAGCTACATCCCCAGTCCGATTTATTATTTATTCATATTCTTGTTTATTTTGAGACAGGGTTTCTCTAAGTTGCTAAGTTGCCCAGGCTGTGTCTTGGTTACTTTTCTCTCACTGTTGGGACAAAATACCTAACACTCAAAATAAAGAAAGATAAGGTTTATTTAGCTCGATGTTTGTGGAGGTTTCAGTCTATAATTAACTGGGTCCAAGGCAAGGTGGCACGGCAAATGCTTCAGGGCAACAGCCAGCAAAAGCAGCAGGACCAAAAAGGGGGTTGCTTATATTATACAAAGGCCACACCCCTTCCAGGGCAGATGTAATACTCACAAAATCTCCTCGCCCTCCTCCTGCACAGGCAGAGGATATTTATATTTACAGGTTAGCCCTAAGTATCTGCCATAAGGAAACATGCAATTCCTTCAGGTTAAGAACCCTGGTTCCCTGCTGAGTCTTTTCATTAAACTGCTAAATTGTTCAGATTGACTCAATGTATCAACCATGACACTGAGCTCAAATGTAGAATCCTCCTGCCTGGGGGTCCCAGAGCACTGGGGTTCTAGAAGAATCTCTTCCCCTGCCCATCCTCACCAGATGACCCTGCTGTAGACAGATGCCAGCCCATGCTGGGTCCAGAGGCGTCCTAAAGATGAGGGTCCCCACTCTTTTGACCCTCAGCTCCAGCAATCCAGCTCCTAAAGTGGAAACGGCACTCAGAGCACTGATGACACGGGTGAGCCAGGCCTGGCCACGTCTGTGGTCAGCAGGATGCACTGTCCACTGAGCGGGCTGTGGGCAGCCACAGTCCTTTTTCTGTCTCCCACAAAAACTCTCCACTGAGTAACTCACTCAGAGAAAACCCTCACCAAGGAGAGTAAGTCACCTCTCCTACCTTCCGTGGGCTTTTCATGTTTTAGTTTTGCAGTTAAAGGAACTGCATGTTTCCTTATGGCAGATACTTAGGACCAACCTGTACTTAAGAGCTTTTCAAAAGCCTCAGGACAATGCAGAGAAACAACTCAGAGACCATTAAGAAACTGCATGAAGAATTTAACTCCTTTTACTGCCTTTTAGCACTCCTCAGAAACTCTGATCAGAACACTCACTTCCTTTCTTCTCCTCATGAATACCCACTGATCGCTCACCAGATGAAGCCACTAAAGCAGCCCGGTGTGTAGACTCCAGCTCCACTGGTGCCGGCATGAGGCCAGGCTTGACGTGACTGCCGCAGATTCCACAATGACCAGAGTCCGTGTGGAACCAAGAAACGCGCAGGTGCCGAGCTGAAGCTCCATTTTCCAAGGGAAAGTTTCCAAAAGACTCATGCCCCTGGCCTGAGGTCAGAAACAGAAAAACTCCCTATGTTAACACTCAATTCACGTTTATAAACTTATTTATTATGATTTGCATCTACCAAGATTGCTGCAAGCAGCCAACCGAGACTCGTTTCCACAGACATTGTAGCATGATTTGCAAGCTGGTGACCCCTGGGCTTGCAGAGAGCTCAGAAATATTTGATTTGGGCTGATTTGGAGGATCTGGATCTTTGCCCGTCCTGAGGCATTCACTGACTTCCTTCATGCATTACTAAAGAGAAGGGGGGGGAAGGGGGAGGGGAGGGGGCGGGAGGGGAGGAGGGCGGGAGGGAGGGAGGGAGGGAGAAAGAAAAAATATTTAGTTTGACCTGTAGGTTTTGTTTTGTTAATTCATTGCCAACAGTTAAAACTCGGGGGGTTGATAGTCACTAAACCCACACGTGCAGATGGGATCCGTTTGCATCCCTGTGTAAGGGACTATCATTTGCTGTTCATGGCTCGGTGAGGATCTGTCCAACCGATCCCAGCCGGACATTTGCACTCAATTACCAAATCCTGCAGGGTGGAAAGTCGGCGAGGAGGGTGCTGGTGTAAAATAGTCACAGTACTCAGCCCTGGGGACTCAGTCTGCTCCCCCTCCGGCAGGCTCGCCCGGCTGGTGCACCGGGCAGGTACAGTTTGTAAGGACAAAGCAGAAGCAGGGAAGGCCACTGAGGCCTGGGCTCTGCAGGTCGCTACCCACCTCATCCCCCCCAGCCACCACCTCACCCCCCCCCAGCCCCACCCTACCCCCTGGGCTCTCTGGGCCAGGCTTCGCCTGGGACCTGCTGGGCTCAGGCTTCTCTTTGAAGATACTGAGAATCGCTTCATGCATATGCAGAGACCTATTTTGAATGCAACGAAAATCTTTAGAGGAAAAAAAAGTGAAGAATTTACGCGCACTTCCTGCGGGAGACAATCAGCGACGCGTTTGCAGAGCTAGCGCAGCAGTCTCGGGTTGGGGTCGGCGGCTCGGGAGGGCTGCAGCGCCACCTGCCGGCGGGCTCCGTACTGCACGCCCCGGTCACCGCCCGCGCCCTGCCGAGGTGCCCCCGAGCAGCCCCGGCCTCTGAGGCCCAGCTTCGCGGCCTCCACCACCCTCCGCCGCCCTGGCGCAGAGCGCGCGATTACAGCTGCCCAGCGAGCCCAAAAGGTGGCTGCAACGGAGTCAGCTGGTCTGGCCCAGAAGACGCCCTGCTGCCCCGCCAGCTTCTCTGGAGAAGCCTCCAGCTCCCCCAAAACCCTGCCTAAGCCTCAGCTCCCACATCTGCAAAATGAACGCGAAGAAGGTCAGGGGTGGTGGCACACAGCTGCAATCCCAGCACTCGGGAGGCTGAGGCAGGAGGATCGCTGTGAGTTCGAGGTCACCCTGGATCCACAAGAGGCAGGATTTCTTTCTGTCCTTGAGATCTTTGCAGTGACATGTGTCACATTCTGGCTTAAGATTTACTCAGTGACAAAACTGTTTTCTTTCTCCCCTACTTTTCTGGGGAAGAGATTTAGATTTTAATTTTATTTCCCCAACATCTCTTCCCCAGGACAGCAATAGGCTCTGCGGGGTTTTCTGTCTCTCTCGCTCATAACTGCATCCTCAGAGCAGCGCCTGGCACTGAACAGGTGCTCAAAATAAACGATAAACAACAGTGATATCCACTGAGGACACCAACTAGATAAACCTGTCGCCAGCTGTAGGGGACAGAAGATTTCTCTAACTTTCTGAAGGTTTCATAACTGAGTCCATGAAATAAACTGACCAGAGACAGGTCAACAGAAACAAAAATTTGTTTGCACAAGAATAATAAAAAAATACAAAAAAATGTGAAATTTACATTGCACCCTGAGCTATAGAAAGGAACAGGCTCCCTGGGCCTCAAGTGGGAAGGGGAGAGACTGCCACAGTGAACAGAAACCAGCAATGACACCCAGGACTAGGAGGCAGATTTATTTATGTCGATAGGCACTAATCAGGATCATTCTCAAAAAATAACAGGCCCTGATCTCTGGCAGTCTCGGGCTTATATGCGACATGCAAGCAGCAAATACAGAGGCCTCTCCGGCTTGTCAGCTGGAGACAGGTTTATATCCCGAGCATCACAGTGACCAGTTCTTTCTAAGAGACAGGAGCAACCCGACCAGGGCAGCTGAGAAACTGGAGTGTACTGGCTGGAGGAGAAGGGAGGCATTTTCTGTTACAAGACAGCCACGAGCCATAAGGGCAGGGAGGAGAACGCGGGTGAATGGAGGCTGCACCACTGGCCCCAGGCCTCATCTCAGGGGCTGGACCTCAGCCATGGCCGCCTCCTCGGGTAATGATGCCGCTCAATTTCCTTTAGAGTGGTTCATTGCTTTTGCCTCTAGGTCTGCAGTTTCTCCAAATAACCAGCTCAAAAAAAACGAAAAAGACAAAAAATAAAAAAATTAAAAAAAAAAAAAAAGGGGCTGGGGATTTAGCTCAGAGGCATAAGCACCTGCCTTGCAAGCAGGCAGTCGTGAGTTCGATCCCTGGTACCGATAAAAAAATGAAAAAGACAAAAAAATAAAAAATAAAAAAAAAAAACAAATAACCAGCTCAAAATATGCCAAAGATATACATCTTGAGTGGCACTTTCCTGCCTCTTGAGCCCCAAAAAGTGTCTGAATTTTATTGTTTGCAAAAAGAAAGTCTTACTACAATAAAATTTTTTTTCAATTTTTAAAACCTCCCAATTGCCAATAAGACAAGGGCAGCTTTTTTATGGATACTGATTTTATTTCCTGTGAATCTCTGTGCTGCTCAGACATGACTCAGGGTTCACCGCATCGTTATTTAATGTGGCTGCTTCAGAGACTGCCATTAATGACCATCTCAGACGTCACACAGCAAACACCGATCACGTCCCAGAAATGCTTTTCCAGATCCTTCTCAACAGTAGTGAAGAGCGGATTCTCAGAATACCACATCAGCATCTCCGTCCTCCAAACAGGCGACTTCTTTCCCCACTGATGCTCCCGAAGTAGCATTTCTCCCCAGTTGGCCTCATCAGACCAGACAGTTCAGGTCCTGCATCCTGGGTCCCCACCCCAAAGTCTTCCTTTAGGTCCAGCCCATGCTTTCCACCCCCTTCTCAGAATGAGCAGCAAAGATAAAGGATAATAGCCTGTGTGAACGGTGATTGGCTTTCAGGAGGCAGCTGCCCACCAGGCCCCGTGCTAAACACCTCGGGTCCTCACAGCACCCCAAGGGCTCTTCACGAGTATCAGCACCAGTTTCCAGATGAGAAAGCCGAAGCTTCCTTTTAGAATGACTTGCCCAGTCACCCAGAGAGTGTGAGTTAAGCACTTTCAGGCAATCTAATCCCAAAGCCCAGCTCTGAACCCTAAACTGTAAAAGGTCCCCAGCATTGGGTCAGTCTTCTGCCTGACTCATAGAAACTGCAAGAGAAAACCCAGCAAGACAGGAACCTGGAAAAGAAGGATCCGAGGTCCTACCTTGTCTGAGCTCCTTCTGCACTGCTGGCCCTGAGCTAAGCAGGCTCAAAACGACACCCAGGGCAAGCCTCACCTCCCACAGGAGCTGCAGAGAAGGGCCCTGACAAGCAGAGTGGGCTGGGGTGACTTCTCAAGGGCCACCATTCGCAAGTGTTCAAGTCCGACTCCAGGCGTGCGTGTCTGTGCCCAGGGCTCGTGTCCTCAGCCATGATTCTTCCCCCAAGCAGTGGAGAAAACAATTCAAACTCAGTTCCAGTCCAGTTCCAAGGACAGAGCTGGTGGGGAGCAAGACCGACGGTTCCAAGGCAGCCATCACTAGTGACATTCTCGAAAGCTGGGGTGGTGGCACACACCTGTAATCCCAGCACTCGGGAGGCTGAGGCAGGAGGATCCGTATGATTTCAAGACCAGCTTGGGCTACAAAGTGAGCTCAAGGCCAGCCTGACCTGCATAGCAAGACCCTGTTTCAAAGAGACAGGTAGGGGGAGCCCTATGCCCAGGAATAGAGGATGTTCTCTCTGCATCGTCCTCCAAGGATTAAGCTGTGTTTTATCTCAGTCCCCTTTGTGTTTGGCACAGCTCCAGGACCCAGCCAGTGCTTGCTCCTCTGATGACCCCCGGACAGATGGGTGGATGTGTGTACCCCCATTTCCAGCAACCTACAGCTTTGGGCTTCCCAGGCAGACACGCTCTGCAGGGCGTCCCAGTTCCTCCTCTCCTGTCCTCCTTCGTGGGCCACAAGACCATCGTGTGAGGGGGGGAATGTGACGGCCAGCGGAGCCCCTGGAGGGTCAGTCACGCTGCATACAGTTGCTTTCCTCCTTCCAGGAGGCCATCACAGAGAGGCTGAGACCCCAGCCTGCTCATTTCCTTGGGGCCACGCAGCTGTAGTTCTGAGCTCAGAATTCAGCCATGACCCTTGTGCCCACAAAGAGCCCGCCTTTCAGCTCCACGTTATCCTGTCTCACATGCAGAGGGAGAAGGGTCGGCAGGTGCTGTGTGAAGGATGCAGGTGCCCAGCGTGGATCGAAAGAACAGAGAAACCAGCAGACGTGAATGTTTCATAGGGGCGATTACTAACGGGACTTCATGGGAACTAGAAAGAGACCAGCAGAGCCAATGATTAAGCTCATGCTTTAATAACAAAGCAGGAAGTGACCTCTGTATGCATCACTAAGAAGCTGGGTCCATCATGGTGCACCCGTACCAGAGTGCTCTGCGGCTCTTAAAATAAAGTTCCAAGATCACTGTTTCAACAGGAGAAACATTAGTGATGTGAACTGAAAAAGTCAAGTTAGAATGTACAAATACAGCGTGACCCCTTTTTTATCCACAAGGGGCACGAAGTACCTTGCAAGAGCTGGGGCCTGGGATTTAGCTCAGTGGCACAAATGCCTGCCTGGCAAGCGTGAGGTCATGAGTTTGATCCCTGGAACAAAAGAAAAATCTGGGTTATAGGCTCCATGCCCTGACCGGAGAGGAGGTAGAGACTGTGACTGGCCAGCACGTTGGGAACTATGGCAGGGCAGGAGGAGGATGCACCAACCAAGAAACTATATGGGGAAACAAGGGCCAGCCTGTTCCCAAATCCTTGCCCTGCCCCAGCCCAGTCCTGCAAGCTCTTGACTCCTTGTTTAACCTCAGTGTCCCCTTAGGCCCTTGTGTTAAACGGTGGATCTCCAGGGGGCGCTCTTGGGAGATGGTGAACCCTGTAAGAGTCCGGCGGATGGGTCCCTTAAATCTCTGGGAACCTGCCCTTGAAGGGAACCGTGGGCCTTGGGCTCTCCCTCTCCCTCCCTTCTGTGGTTGGAGATGTGACTGTTTGGCTCCTAGGACGTGCTCTTGCCATGACGAATCTCCACGCGCCAGCATGGAGCAGATGTAAGTGCTGTGCCTTGGAACCTCCCAAGCGGAAAACTCACTAAATGTTTGTCTCAAAAGGTTACTCACCTCAGGTGTCTCATGACAGAAACATGAAGCTGAGTCACACACCTTCCCCAGCAATACTTCGAGATAAGCGTCATCGTCTGCATCCCCCAGCCCCATGAGGAAGCAGAGACGTAGGTGGCCAGAGTCATTTAGTCAAAGTTCAGGGCCAAACTGGCTTCTGAGACAAGCATGTTTCACATGAAAGCCGCAACGTGGCCATCAGACCTTAGCCCGCGGGCCTTGCTGTCTCGGGTCACCACCTGCTGGCCCACTGCGAGGGTTCTGAATCATGAAGGCCAAGGGGAAACGAACCAAGGAGAAGCAGGGCGGCAGGACGTAGGCTTGGCTGGAGCCACCAACAGATGGCAAGCTTCTTCCTGGCGAGAGGGCAAAGCCAAGGGAGGCCCGGAGTAGCTGGTAGGAAATGTGAGGTGCACTGGGGCCCCCGTGATCAGCCTCAGGCTTCCATGGAGAAGTAGGGGGCCAGGGCACACGCCATGAAGAAAGGCACCTGGCAGGAGTGGGGGCTCCAGAAGGACAGAGAACATTTGGAGCAGTCACAGCAGAATGCCACAGAAAGGGTGTGGGACTAAAACTATTCTTGTGTTCAGAAGACTCAGAGGTGGCCAGAAAGCAGCTATTGGGGGAAATAGAGCGATGTGTCCCAATACGGTCCACTTTTCT